AAGATCCCACAATCAATAATTCCGGTTCAGTTAAGATTCTGCTGTTAAAAAAGAAACCAAACAAAGCAACAACAAATGTTAATACACTAGAGTCATCACTAAGATAAAGTATCCCCCCCCCCCCCCGGAGTGTAATAAGGGACTAAAAACGCTGCTCTCCATATCATACTTTACTGAACAAACAAACAAAAACCTTCAAAGGTCATCCACGCTCATGCATGCGTTCACACCTCCAAAGGTGCTGTTGTCTCTTCTTTTAAAAATATTTGAAATCATTGTGCGCTCCACTTTGTGAAATCCAGAAACAAAATTATTGTAATCAATAATATTATTATTTATAGACCAAGACATACTGTTAGCAATCAGATAAAGCTGGCATCGACCCTCTGTTGTGTTTGCTATTCCTTACACATAAGTTATGGCACACGCCTAGAATCATGCTATCATAATGTCTTAAATTCAGTTTTAAAGTATATTTTTAACCATTTCTAATACTTAAATATTTTAGCATCTTGAAAGATTATCTTTATAATTTGGTATGTTTGATAATTTTATGTTACTTGGACAAGTTTACTTCTTATTTTACACATCTTTTTGCTTTTTAAACTAGATTATAACATACAACCCTAAAAGAATTGAACAGTCCGTATCACACACAGAATTTTTTTTTCTCCCTGTCATTATCCGTCAGCCCGTCAGTTGATCACAATCTCTCTCTCTCTCTCTCTCTCTCTCTCTCTCTCTCTCTCTCTCTCTCTCTCCCTCTCTCTCTCTCTCTCTCTCTTTCTCTCCTCTCTGTCTGTCTGTCTGTCTGTCTGTCTGTCTCTCTGTCTGTCTGTCTCTCTCTCTCTCTCACTCTCTTTCTCTCTCTCTCTCTCTTTTATTTAATTTTCCCCATTCTCCTTCGTCCATTCCCAAGGCCCGCCCCTCCTCTTTCATCCCGGCCCCATCCCCTCTTCCTTGCGTGCATTCCCCCACCCCTCCCACCCCCACAACGTCTTGAACGTGGCACAGCCCGATAAGATTCTAAAAAAAAACCCGCCACAGTTCGAGATTTAGCCCACACTCGGCGGCCATATTTGATCCCCACCGCGGCGTACTGCTCGTGGCGCCGCGAAGAGAGAGAGGGGGCTCCATTAGTTCTAAACTCCTTGAAACAACCCAAAAAATCTCGAGTTCGGGAACCGTTCGGAGAAATAGAGTTCAACTTTATTTTCCCGAAAGTTTGGAGAGATAGATCTAGTCACTTCGTAATAAAAATTATCCCAATACTTATCTGGCACTAGTCGATTTGTGAATTGTCCTGACTCAGTGGGGCGGCAACTTTGGCAAATTGAGTTTGGGGATCTCCAGATTGGGCGCATTTTTGGCAGTTCCCACCCCGCTTATGATCAGTCTTGATCTAGATAATATTATAGGCTATGTTTGATGCTCGGCGAGCAAGAGATATCAAACCTATCTGCAAAACATCAAATTATGATAAAATTCAGGGGGGAAGGCCCCCCTGGACCCCTCCTCTATATTCTTATTAGGGGCAAACCCCCATGACCCCCTCCCCCTCCCCCCTAGCCTACTCTTGGGGCCAAGACCCGCTAAAAGGCACCAATCTCAGTCTAGAGATTCCCTGACTGATTTTGCCAAAATGGCAACCCCTTGGGCCGGGACATCACAACTCGACTAGTAGTAGCTCTATTCCTCTCAGCTCATAAAACCGATACCTTCAACAACAAAAAAGAAGCCTATTACTTTAATTTTACTTAGATATCTAGATTCTAGATCTAGTAATACCCGTCTCTTCAGACGCCTCCTTCCCCGAGCTTGAAAAGGGAAGAAATCCGGGGAGTTCCGAACAACTTGTTTGCGTTTTTTTACGCAGTGGCTACGTTCACGGCGCCCTGAATGCAGTTTGCTGGCGCTGTTGAGGCTACGTTCACGGCACTCAAGCTTCGTTTAGACGGAGTGTCCACTGCCGGTTTTAGTCAGTGACTACAGTGACGTATATTTAATATTTTGGCCAGCTTTAAATGTTCCATCCCAGGAGATGATGGAAAACGAAAAAGCCTGGGAACCGACGCAGAGATAAATAAATGACGGGAACCGTTCTTATCATAATAGCAAACACCCTCTCTCTCTCTCTCTCTCTCTCTCTCTCTCTCTCTCTCTCTCTCTCTCTCTCTCTCTCTCTCTCTCTCTCTCTCTCTCCCTCTCTCTCTCTCCCTCTCTCTCTCTCCCTCTCTCTCTCTCCCTCTCTCTCTCTCTCTCTCCCTCTCTCTCTCTCTCTCTCTCTCTCTCTCTCCCCCCCCCCCTCTCTCTCTCTCTCTCTCTCTTTCTGTCTGTCTCTCCCCTTTCTTTTTCCTTCTCTCTTTCTCCCCCTCCCTCTCTATTTTCTCTGTCTCTGTCTGTCTGTCTGCCCCCCCCCCCCTCCTTCTCTCTCCCTCTCTCTTTCTGCATTAGTTGTAGTGTTGTTTTTGTTCAGGAGCTGTTGGTTTCTTACCGAGCACGAAACCTCTTTCGCACGCAGACCGTGACATCTGTCAGTGAGGAACAGAGGCCACGAAACTGCCATGGTTTTGGGTGGCCTGGGGTGGAATGAACAAAGCCGCTCTCGTGAGAATCACCGGATGCCTTGGTTTAGTGAACTACATCGCGCAAGTGCTGGAACGTCATGTCTTACCCTTATTTTCGTCAAGGTGTTATTCAAGTAGTCATCCCCATGCGAAACACGACATTTTCTCATAGGGCCAATGCCATTACAGAATTCATAAAAAACCAAATCAAGTCAACGTTCGAATAGTTACCAGCAAACAGCCCCGATATGAATCCTACATGTATGTGAAGTCCCATGAAACAGTGGCTGAAGAAAAACGACTTTGCCCCCAATTCAGACCCTTTGTTTGAAACTCTCTGTGATATTTGAAATGTAATGACAGATAAATATGTCCAAAATTTAATAAAATTGATGCCCCAAAGGTTTCGTGCGCAACACAAAGCCAATGGTTCCTAAGCAAAATAACAATGAAAACAATTAGTGTTGAGTGGAAGGTTTGTGTTGTATTTGTGATAGCTCTGTTTTCCGTTATGTTTGAAACTATCGTGGCAAAATATCGTAATAAAATATTGTTTATTGCAAAGACACAATTCTCCATTCACTGGGCATGCAATATAGCGCCATTCGATCAATATTGATACTCTTCAATAAATGCGCAAAAGACAATTTTACGTTTCTTTGATTTCGCACAATTTTGCCAAGCCTTTTTTAAAAGGTCAATTTTGAGTGACGATATCTCGGGCGTCTCTAAAAATATATTAAATATTAATGTGTCAGATGATGAAGAATTTATTTAGCTTTAAATTGGTATGCTGCATAAGTTGGTAATGCAAGGCTTTAACACGATGACAGGGTGATTACATTTTCAAGTTTCTTTTGGACGCCACTGTATAACTACGTTTACAGTAAGTTTTGTGCATCCAAACTTTAAGGGCTTTTCTCTCAAATTGGGCTCTTTCAGAGGGGGGTGGGGGACATAAAAATATATCATGCGAAAAGTTGTTAAGATATCGTCATAATTTTCGGTATACTGATAGATGAAACATTATTCCAGTGTAGTAAATAGTGACGTCAAAAAAAATCTTGAATAAATGATTTTATTATAAATCTATTCCGTTGTTGTGATCTGAGATTTTTGTGGTCAAAATATTCCCACATTTAGGACCTCGATTCTGAAAAAAAATTTCCTCCTACATCAAAAATGTCTAGTCCATCCTCTAAAACAGCCACAGAAGGCTGCAAAACCACTTAAATTGTAACATTTTAAAATCATTTAAAACCTTACGATAGATCTTTTAGAAATGTGTGCATCTATTATCTATTTGTGGTGGCCGAATTTTGCTATTCAAAAGGATTTTTAATGGCTGCATCGATCGACATGCGGTTTTCGCCAAAAGATTCTTTAAAATATTCTCCAGATGATGACGCCCTTTGTTTTTTCAGTTTTGAGACAGTTTTGCTGCAAAAAGCTAAATTTGTTTATTTCGCCGATCGCTTTTGTAGGCCGACGCTTCTGTCTATTTAATTTTTTTTTTAACCGCCAGGTTTGTTTATTTCAAGTCGTACTTCCGTTCGATACTATAGCAAGGCGCATTTTGTTTTGAGAGTATAAATCTAGACTTTCTATTTTTTTTTTTTCATCTTTCAAGATTTATTGCTCCATTCCAGTAGAGTGTAAATTTTAATACAGTAGACCAATGACTTTCAGCTGATGTTAATGCACCGATCATTCCTTTCAACGAAAGGGGGCCCAGCTAGTTTTATGACATTCCAATATGGCAGGCGTTACCATAGTAACACAAAAGAATTTTCAAAATTTTATTTCATGACCTAATTCTCCACTCTATTTATATTGATGCTACACATTGATGCTACCACATTTGTAAGCTTAGTTTCTTCTTCTTAACGAATTTCAAAATTTCCCCCGCATCATGCCTTAAACCGACAGTGGACACTCCGTCTAAACGAAGCTTGAGTGCCGTGAACGTAGCCTCAACAGCGCCTGCTAACTGCATTCAGTGAGCCGTGAACGTAGCCTGCCAGCTACATTCACGGCGTCGTGAACCCAGCCTGCAGACTACGTTCACGGCACCGTGAACGTAGCCACTGGGTAGGTTTTAACTTCCTAGTTCCTAGTATAAAAGCTTCCCCACCGATTCTCGGAATACCGTTCATCATTTCAATTTCACCATTATTTGATGTTTTGCTTTCAGGTTTGAAATTTTCTGGATGACAATCCATTTGCAACAGTTTAAGTGCCAATAAATTAATGTGTGTACTGCAGCCAAAAATATGATGGTTTAGCCGTCAAAAGCAGTGCATCTTAGGCATCTTGATTCTAGAGCTAGATCTAGCCTAGATCTAATCACCGAATCTATATATCTAGATTTAGATCTAGATCTAGATCTAGATCTAGAATCTAGAGATTTACTTGCGATAGTGAAACTGAAAGTAATATTTTACAGAGTCTGAGAAATCAAGCGGCTGACTCGATCTATTAGGGCCTAGACTAGATCTAAATCTAGATATAGATTCTAGAAAAGTCTATCTGGACGGGAACTTCTGCCTCTATTGTCTGGTGTGTCGAGTGAACTCGTCGAAGTGTTCTCTGTCAGTAGTCAGTGTCAGTGTAGAATATGGCGGAGAAGTCTGATACAACATCGCAGAGTCAGAGTGGCTCAAGCGGCTTTAGGTGAGTCTCGTTAGCCTATGTGTAGATTCTAGAGTAGAGTATCACTGCGTGTTAGTCTAGATTCTAGATCTAGATTCTAGACTAGAGCTTAGATCTAACGCAGTGGCTATTTTTACGGCGAGCCGTAAAGATAGCCTCCCAGGCTATTTTTACGGCATGCCGTAAAGATAGCCTCCCAGTGAGTCCCAGGCTATTTTTACGACGATCCTCGAAAAGCGACGCTACTCCGCCTCTCATGTACGCGACATGCCTCAATGACAATGTATTATTAGATCTAGGCCTATAGGGGTTGTTCAAAATATAAACTTACACCTCAGAGGGGAAAGGGTGTCTTTGGCTTCTGTAAGAAAAGTGGAAGATTGGGTGGGAAGGTTAACCAAATATGACACTTCTATGAGATGTTACGTTTTGCTCATGACGGGGAAGAAAAGGTAAAAGAAAAAGTGAATAAATGCCAGCAGTAACAAGACCCACATCTGCATGATCACTGCAGATCCCCGTTGTTGTTTTGTTTTTTGTTGTTTTGTTTTTTTTAGGGGAGGGGGGGGGGGGGGGGGTACAAGAGAGTGACAACATGGGCTTACTAAAAGCCTAAACATCAAGAAAACCGAAACGATGGTGATAAGCAGAAATACTCCAATCCCAACATGCAATATCAAAATCAATGATACCACCCTCAAGCAAGTACAACATTTTAAATATTTGGGGACCATTATATCATCAGATGGTAGATGTCACACCGAAATTAAAAGCCGCATTTGCCAAGCAAAAGCAACCTTCCACAAGATGAAACAGATACTAACAAACATCAATCTGTCACTGGAAATGAGGAAAAGAGTAATGAAAAGTTACATCGAGCCAATCCTTTTATACGGGTGCGAAGCGTGGACAATCAATAAACAACTGGAAAGAGCAATTGTAGTGACAGAGTTGTGGTTCATGAGATGCATGCTACGTATCCCATGGACAGCTAGAAAAACAAATGAAGAAGTCCTGGTTGAAGCAAATTATAGAAAACAACTTATCACGCGCATATATATATATATATAAGAAAACGACAGGCAAATTTTTTCGGACACACAATGCGGAAAGAAGCATTAGAGAACATTGTAACAACAGGAAAGTTTGATGGAAAGAGAGGCAGAGGCAGACAGAGGGAAAAGATACTGGACAAGATGACAACATGGCTGGGAGCAGCAAGAACAACAGACACCATTGCTGCATCGAAAGACAGATGGAAGTGGAGGTCCATGATCGCCCACGCCAGTCGGCAAGGCACCGGATGATGATGATGCAATTTCAGGGTACAGGAACACATAATATATATTTTTTTGCATTCAAATATCAAAATTTTGCTCAGTACGATTGACCATAGTATCTGTATCTACCATTGCACCAATTTTCATGCAATTTTGTTAGAGAGTAAGAAGCCTTCGGTTTTTTTAAATTATTGTTTGTTTTGCATGTTGGTGCTGTTTCCATTCCATGGCAACTTTCATATTTTCCGACTTATCAAAATTTAATTTCTTCATTATTTCTTCTGCCCGTATAATTTTTTTTCCTAAAATATGAATCGGAAAAAGAATCACCCTTGGGGTGAGCTGTTCCCCGTAAAAATGGACAGTAATAATATGAGCACATCAGAAAACAAAACACAAAAACTTTAAAAATGCGATCTATTAGATTATTTGAAAGAATCCCACAACAACAAGGTCCTAGTAAAGAACATAAAAACATTGAATTGTTTAAGTCCAGAATAAATAATACTAATAATAGAGGACATTTAATTATAGTGCCTTACTCTCGGTTTTAAACCAGCTCAAACATTGTTACATTAGCGTTTAGTCATTTAGTCAAATGTAGTATAAAATAACAAATAAGGTAGTAGCCTACAAGGCCTACAAGCCAAGACGGAATTAATAAGACTGAAAAACGTGTTCTACGTCATCAGTTTGTGACCGCCGTAAAAATAACATTTCAGTTAATACAATTTAATCAAACCTACCGGGTCTGTATGGTATGTCTGTATACTTCGTGACTTTGTTCCCGGTTACCGGGTCTGTATACACTTCGTTTCATTTTTGTCAGCTGGACTGTTGACAAGAGATTTATTGCTGATGACAGTGGCGTGGCTCTCCAAGCGCAAGTGGCGCCATGGCGCCACCCTTTGAAATGGAGAAAGGATTTTCAAAAAAGGGAATACGATGTTCCAAAACTTAACAAAATATCACAATATTTTTTTCAAACCAATCTCTTATAATTCCTAAGTACTCCAGTCTTTAGTTAAGGTGTCTATAATTAGGCTAGTGGGAGGAAGGCGGGTAAGCCTCCCGTTGCCGGTCGCAAGGGTCTCCCCGCGTCTTTCGTTCCCTACGTCTGATGTCACCGAGGGCGCCGAACCCAGATTGGCGCTACCTGAACCAGTGTCTCTGCCTGAACCCATCTGGGTGTTCATTGTTTAGGTGTGACGTCTGGTCAAAATATTCAAAATGATCTATAAACTATTTGATTCAATCAGTTAAAAACAGGGTTTTCTTTCCAAGAATAGCAAAAAAGTTTTTTCAATACCCCATCCAGACATTTGACAGAAGACAATAAGAGATATCACCAAGAACATAAATCAGCTAAAAATACTACAACAGGTACTCCCATCACACTAAGAGATTGTACAAGTACTGTTGGGCCAAAGGGCCAAGATGGATTTGGCGCCTGTATGGTTGGGAGGGGATGGAGTGGTAGTTAGCCTGGACATGGCCACATGGCATGATTGCGAACTGTCTAAAAGTAGGTTTTATTTTCGCTTTCTAGAAACCAGAACTGCAAGGAATCAGGGAATGGGGTCATATGTCAAGACGCGCCGAGGGCAATAGTGCATGCGAGTTCTTGACTGTGAATGTGTGCTTTTCTGTTGATCAGTTGGAAGTTATTGTTTTGTGTGTGATTACCATGTGATGTGATTATGCGCATCTTGAGCGTTGAACTCTTTCTCGATCTATATAAAAGATTGTACCAGCAGCTGAGCACTTATCTATTCTTCTCACATGGAAGTAGGTGTCCCTATATCAGTATTAAAATTAAAAGAACAGGCGTATATAGTAGGTCTACAGTTTATAGGCCATCAATAAGTAGGCAATACTATTCGTTGCGATTTAATTTGTTCTTGGCGCCACCTTGAACTCTGGAAGTGAAGCCACGCCCCTGGCTGATGATGATTTTCATAAGATCTTTCGCCATTTATAGGCGCTAAAACACTAACATACTAACAAGATCTTTCGCTGTCTGTGGCCGGGTACCCATTCCCACCTTGGTGAAGTGAGGAAAATTTGTGTAAAGTGCCTTTCCCAAGGACACAACGTCGGGTCCGCGGCTCAAACACCCACACCTGCAACCTCACGATTACGAGTCCGGTAGCATGACACTAGACCACCGACGCAACAATTCAAGCACCCCTCAATCGAGGTCAATCTGGTTTTGGCCCCAACAATTACTATAAAAAGGAGTGTATAGGTTTTGGCTCCACTGACGATTACTTCTTGTTCGAAGCAATTACTTTAAGTGTTTTGATATGATGTTTGATGCGCGGCAAGTGAGAGAAAATATTCAAGCCTAATTGCAGGGGGCATGATGCCCCCCTGAAGCCATATTTTTATTAGGTCCCTTAAGTTAAAAACAAGTGAAATATTACTGCTCATATTGTACTGAAAAATAGCTTCACATCTCTCGCTCTCTTTTAGATAACACATCAATACCGAATCTTTTAGTCAGTGTCAAAATATTTCCAGTAACTCGTAGGGCCAAAACCGGAGATTCCCACTCATCCTCCCCCAACCTTTTAAGTCCAGTGTCAGAAGCTTGGTGAAGACTCCACGTAAGGCTAAAAAGTTACCAATCATATTGATACCCAGTGCACTTTGACCATTTGATCTATATATATATATTATATATATTATTGGGGTTTTTTATTACATAAGAATAAAATTTTATCCATTTGTGAGTGAGGCATCATGGTGAAATCAGGCGCTTGTCAAAATAATGAATTTGAAGAAACCGGCATTTCTACTGGTTCAGCACTTTTTATCGAGTTTTTGTTTTTTGGCTCAACACCTTTTGAAATGTGTCCATTTAAAAACCCCTTCCGGTGGATGATAAAAAGAGACAAGAAATTACTCTTCACACGATATGTTCCCACTAAATACAGAAATGTGAAGATCGAGAGTGAGGGGAGCATGAAAGCACTCTGTTTTTTTTTCTCTTACTACAACTTCCGTTTTGTTTCCTCAGATGGACGAGACAACTACTTTGGGCTACCTGGGCCGAATTTGCAAGAGCGAATCAAGGTCACGTTTTAGCCGTAAAGCTTAAATATTCCCATTTTACACATTTTATTCGTAAGAAATTAGAATTTTAACATAAAAATGATGTAGTAGGTGTTTTTTAGTTTTAGTCACCCATCAATTAACACAGTTTAGATCAATTTCAAGGCAAGCTTCGGACCCTGCCTGTCTGGGCCAACCAGGACTGAAAGGGAAACAACATCCGAACAGAAAGACTGAGATACTCGGTGAAAGTTTTCTCCCCACTCAGGAATTCGAACTCTGGTCTCTTGCGTGCGACAGCAAGGTGCTAAAACTGCTACTCCACGGACACTGGTACACTGTCTTTGTCATGATCAGTCATTTTTATGTGTATTTCTGAACTCTTGTGCTATCACTATCAGTCAGAAACCCTTGTCTCCTTTATCAGTTATAATTATCCCCCATTTGTCCCAGTAACCATATCAAGGGTCTCCACTCTGCGTTCACGACAGTTTTAATTGCTGTTAAAATTTAAAATCCCTTCTTTGTATTGTAAGCTACCAAGGTAATTAATTTCTTGCAATATCAGTGAACAAATAGGTTTTTATTTTATTTAACAGCTTTAAGTTTAAGCCTAATTGCTAGTAATTTCCCACACTTTGGACCAATGTAGGAGGTTTCAGAGCCCCCCCCTCCCCC